CACACAGCAGACTTGGACATTAATATCTAAGCATTATTTTCCCTTTAACCATTTATATCCACACATTTTTGAGCTAGATTCTTTAGCTATAAAATCAGAATAACAGTGCCTCAGAGATTTATAACAATATAAAGTAAAATATCACAGTAAATTTGTAAGTATAAGGCTTCACACATAATATATAAGGTATAAATATTAGATGTAATAATTAGAATTATTTGAAGAAGTCTTGAAACAGTGCTACACTAAGGGAAATAAGTGGTAATGAGACATGTGTCTCAATTAAGAAGAAATATCATGGGAGCATAGAAAAAAAAACAAATGCCCTTTATGGTGATTTTTTGTTGTTTGTGAATTGTCTTCAGAGACTGTTTAAAATTACTGCTTTAGGGCTGGGGATTTAGCTCAGCAGCATAAGCGCTAGCTTGCCAAGCACAAGGTCCTGAGTTTGATTCCTGGTGCCAAAAATAAATAATAATAATAATAATAATAATAAACTACATAAAATAACTGTTTTAAGCAAGAAGAGACTATTATCAATTGTCCCAATCCTACTTACTTGAAATAGTTACCATAAAAATTTAGTTAACAAATCCACCAGAGAATGAGTTTTGCAGATAGTGTATCGAGTATCTGATGTTGCCTCTTGTGAATTTACAGTCAACTTCCCCTTCATGACTAAAAAATAATGATATTATTATGTCAAGACATTAGAAAAATTCTTGATTAGGTTCCCCTAAGCAAAATTTCAGCAGCCAATTTGTGGGCTAGGAGGTTTGGGATTACACGGAAGATCTTGTGAGGGGAACGATGGAGCAAAATCTAAATAAAGGAAATAAGTCAGTATTTTATTCAAAAATAAAAGGATACACAAGAGCTTTTGAGAATAGTTAAATACACTCCTTCAGATCTCTTCAGGGATGTGGGAAAGAAGACTGAACATGCGTTTTAATGAAGCAAACACAGAAAGCTCAAGGAGGACAACTGTTTCCTGGTAGAAGTGTGTTATCAGATCCCTGTTGTCACAGAGAGGGAAGCTACCTGACATGGGAAGGTCACATGCCAGCCATAGACCGACTCAGGCTAACAGGGGCATAAGGACAACACATTTGGAATTAGTACAGTGGGGTACACTAAATAGAGGTCATCCAGAGCCAGATGACTGCCAGTGCTTCCTGCCCATCACAGTGGGAATCCCCAAGGTTTCAGTGTAAAGAGAAACAAGAGACCTAGATTTACAGTGCATGAAATTAGAAACACAGAGTGTGAAAATGTTCTAGCATATTCTTTATGTTTAATCACTTTATTTTGAGGAATAGAGATGAAAAAACATACAAACAATTTTGTAGGGAAATATTTCAGAAAGAGTAGTAATTTGTTTCCAAATATGCATTCCAAATTGAATTATGTTTCTCCTGGTGCATGTTTCATCTTCCCTTGCTTTGCCGTAATAAAAACTACATTTGCATACATTTGTGTATATGTGTCTATTATTTTTGTAGAGTTCTAGCACCCCGCTGGATTCCTTTGGCATTCATCAAATAGTTTTGCAAATTGCGGGCTCTCTCTGTTACTACTAAATATTGAAATACAAGCTGCTGCCACACAAAACTCATTTCTATTTCCCAAAATTATGAAATTAATCAATGAGTATATGTGATCAAAATCAATTTGAATAATCAAATTACAAATAATACTGAAGAATTTATGAATGTGTAATATCAAAACTTCATGGAGGTAGAGGCGTTTTCAAGCTGATTCTATAAAATTAGTAAGAATTAACTGGTAAAGGAAGGAGTTGAATTCCTACAATGAATTTCTTATTGTGTGATTGAAATAATGTGAGTAGAAAGTGGAGGAAAAAAGTAGGAATAGAGCTAGATAGAAACATTCACAGATATCAAAAATGTGGATTGTAGCGGCAATGTCTTTTGTATATTTTATGACCATCTGGTAGACAAATACCCTTGTACAAGCAATTTTATGTATAATTGCTAAAATACATTAAAATTTTATGAGTTCTCGAACATTAACAAAGACATCTACTCATAGGTGTTTTTTTCAGTCCTAACAATGAATAATCCCTTTTTAGGTTTCAGAAAAACAAAGTTTTAGAAAAAAATCTGACTTTTTTAATTTGTAATTTTATCTAATTAAATATTCATTCAGTTCTACGTTTAGCACTTATATAATGTCAATATATGAAGCCTGGAAATTCCAAGTTAAAAAAGGGAGTTAGTTTTTAGAAAGGAGGTTAGTGAGAAAGTCATTTATACAAAGAAAAACTTAAAATGGAAGAAGAAATATTTGTGAGTTTTAATTTTTCAACATATTGATGTCATTATTGTGGATTTTTTGTGCTTTTATATATTTCTCATATGCTTTATAATAAGAATTTGGTGCTTTTTAATGAAAGAAAACCCGTAGTTCATCATTCTGTGGCTTTGTTTGCTATGATTTCAATCTAAAGTATGCCACATTTTTACTGTATTGGTCCTTCCCATACAATAACCCAGTAACCCAAAAGCAAGTGGTATTAATCCATTTTCTGATACCACCTTCATTCTCCTGTTTCAGAGTACTTGTCATGGTTTGTCCCCCAAGATCCCATGGATTTTTAGATGGAGATTTTCAGGGGTAACTGAATCTAGACTGTGACTGACTCATGGTTCAATGCTAGGAGTAAGGAGGTTGGAATTAACAATGGATAATTGCAGAGACAAAATTCACATTTAATTGTTGACTTTGGTTGTAGATCTCAAAGACTATGGGGAGAATGTACACACAAACTTATGGTGCTCTGCTCAGAGACAAAGTGGTTACATTTACAAAGATTAGGTGGTAATAAATGATAAAGAGTAGCCACACTGGAAACTGCATAATGAAAACACGAGTACCTTATCTATAATGTGTCTTTCATAGGAAAGATAAATGCATGAAAAGTTATTAGCTATCAGGGACACAAAATGCAGTCACTTTTCTGTAATCTCTTTAAAGATCGTTTTCTATTTATATGGGGAACAATGTCTACATTTTCACTGCTTGTTACTGTGAATTCTTTTATTTATTCTATGGTGTTAGTTCTAACAAAATAAGAAAGACTTGTTATTTTCCCCAAAATCATATTAGGTTTTTTTGGTGACTTTTTGAAACAAAATTTCTCTATGAAAATATAATAGCTGCTAATGCTACAAGGAGGAAAAATGTTCTCTACAAAGGTTGCTTTGCAAGTACATGTTTTTATGTAATCTCTTCTAGCTGATCTAATTTTTGTAAATTATCTTTGTAATGTGAGTATTGATGATCTTGTTTTGATCAATTATTATCACAATATTCATGCCTTAGTGTTAGGAAGATTTATATATAAAAATTATAATATTTATTATTAACCTGAAGTTTATAATTAACTGTCAAATATCATTAGAATCTTTATAATATTTAGTGAGAAATAATATTTAGTGAGACACTGACCGATGGTGACAGAGTCCAGCACTGTTTTATGCATTGGATTGTACCATCTGCCTCGCATCCCACTCCTGGATTGGGAAGGCGGTTGTCTATGATGATCCCTCTTTTTCGGTCCAGAGTTACATGTAGAGGGTAAAGGAATTTGCTATTTTAGCTACCAGGTTTTTAAGATAAATTATGCAAAGACTTTCACCCTCACTTGGAACTTAGGCAAAGGATAAAATTCTATACTTTGACTCTTTCATAATATGGAACTTGCCTTGAAGGCAAGGACATGGCCACGTTTCATTAGTACAGAAGCATTTTCTGTTTGCTAAACCACAGAGTGAATTATAGAAAATTGCTTCTGATATACGTTAGCGGTTCTTTCCTTTCATGAATGTACTTGGCATTCTTGGCTCCAGGAGATAATGTCTCCTTTTCTGTCATGTTAATAAACACTGTCTGTAGCACTTGCCTTAGCTAAGGAAATGTGACCCTTTGAACTAATTCCTCACTCCGTGTCTCAATAGATATGGAATTTCCCACTTTTGCAGTATTAGAACACATACTATAATAAAAAAAGATACTTACAATAAAAATTTGAGGAATTAGTGACCTAGTTTACACAGTATATAAAATGAGAGCCATGATCTGAGTTTAGCTGACATATTAGAAATACTAAGCTACTGTTGATTTGTGTCCTTATATTTGGGTTGGTTAACTTCAAAAATTTTTTAAGAAAATGCCGCATTATCAGTGACCTAGTGAGATCCCCCACTGCCTGCATGAGTGGTGCAGTGCAAAGAGGGGTCAGTGCCTCAGGATGGGCAAAGAGTAAGACCCCCCCGCTTGCCTGTATTTATCATGCGGCATGGGGCAGTGTAGTGAGTGATTCCAGGAACAGCAGTGACTGTCACTGTGGGCTAGTAAAAAAACAAAGCATTCTCACCAGGGAGAGAAGGGGCCATAAGAAGCTGATGTTTCCCTACATGAGAATTTATACCACTGCTACTACCCTGCTGTAAAGTCCTTGTCCTCCTCAGTGGGTCATATCTTGTCCTGTGAGCACTACAGTTTCCCTAGCCTTAGGGCTTCAGCTGCACTTGCGACCAGGAGAAAGCAGTCTGGTTCAAAGGGCAGGGCCAGGACAGCCTCTGACATCCTTCAGATTCCAGCATAATCCATGGTCCCTGACAGCCCATTCTGATACAGGAAGGGACCAAATGATTGTATTTTGTTTCTTAAATAATAGAAGTTCTTGTTTTCTCAAACTCTTCTGATAAGTATCCAGCATACGATAGCCCAACTGTGAGCAATGGTGGTACTTCATTCAAATTAAATTTATTTTCAAAATTTCAATTCCGGACTTGAAGTATGTTATTGGAAATAAGGGTTATCACATATCACATGACTTTTTGTTGTTGTTGTTGTTGTTGTTGTTGTTGTTAGTCCTGTGGTACAGATGAATAAATGAGACACTTCACTATTACAGAATTTCTCTTGAAAATTGCATTCTCCTCACCTTGTTCTACTCCTCACCTTTTACCCCGTTATCTTCTCCTCAGCTCCCACAGGCTCTGGTTACTCTCCGATTGTTTGATGCATGGCTTCTCTCACTTACATCCTTATTACTCCTTACCAAAGTTCATAGTGTCCTGCCAACAGAAGTCTCCACTTCAAGTTAACTCAGTGTTTTGCTTCTGGCGGAAGAAACATAACAACTTTTATTATTGTGAAATAGAGAAAACAGCTGTCTTCTGAAAAAACCAATGAATTAGAGTTTCTACTGTGTCAGGTTGTGGTTTAAACTAGATGTTAAAAGCTTTAAATTGGGATGATCTGTCTAGCTAACAAATGTGTGTCAAGCATAAAGCCTTGTCATGGCCCCACAGGTCATGCAGTGAAGACTCACTCAACAACCTGTGTGCTATCAGGAAGTGGAACTATCCTCGGGGCAGGAGAATGAAAGGAATTAGGTCACTAGGGGCATGTCAAGAAGAGGGTATCAAGACCAAAGCTTTCCATTCAAATGGAACTTTTGGGAGGTTTCCCCATGGTATTGTTTGGATACCTGATGCCTTCTCAAGAACAGCTAGAAGGCTGGGGTCATCTCTTCACCAGGGTTGTCCAGATATCCTGTTCTCAGAGCAAGTGGCCTTCATTCAGTGTGAGCTCATGGAACCAGGAAATCAGATCTACTAGTTCCCTATATCCCAGGCCCTAAAATCTCGTAGTACTGTCTCCTCTGAGTTCCACTTTTGAAAGGAGCTTAGAGAATTTCTCTATCCTGAATATGAGAACTGTCGGAGAACATACACTATACCACATATAAACATGGACCAGAGAGTCAGGGGTGCAAGATGCAGGTTCAAAGCTGACAAAAGATGGCCAGGGCTGGCTGGTAAAGTACCACATCACACCGAACAAAGTGGTCAGGCCTTAGGAATCCTTACTTTTTCCCCACACTAGCACATGCTGTTAATCTTGAATTGTGCCATGTGAAACATATGGTTGCTCAGAACCAGGGTTTAACCAACACAAATATTTTAAATAAAATTTTACCTTTTAAGAAAAATCATAATCCTAATGGCAGCCGAGGCTTCTGGTAACCACTGTTCTCCTTACAGTTTCTATAATATAGATTTGTTCAGATTCAGCATATGGTGGAGATCAAGCAGTATTTATTTTTGCTCTTGATTTGTTTTATCCTAATTTTCAGTTCCATACTTCGTCACTCAAACAAGATTCCATCTCTTTTGTACCTGTAAAAGAATCCATTACATACATGTTGCACATTTCTCTATGGACTTATCAGTTGATTGACACTTCTGGCCCCCACGAAAGCTTGGTCTTTCTCCCTTTTGAAGAAAGATTTATCTGCCTGTTAATCTATCTTTTACTTTCCTCTTGGAAGTATTTCTACATTTCTCATATAAGAGAAATCATGCAATATTTAAGCTTGTGTATCTGATTTATTTCTCTTAATTGTATGATCAAGGAACACTCATTTTTCTATAAATGATTCTCATTTATGCTTCTTTGTGGCAGAGTAGCTCTTAGTTGTGCATAAAAGTCATGTTTTCTTTATCCGTTCATCTTTGATGGATGTGTAGGCCACTTCCAGGACTTAGGCATCGTGAGCTGTGCTGCTACAGAAATGCATGTGCGGGGGTCACTGTGATACAATGTCTTTAACTGTCTTGGAATACACTGGGAAGGGTAACAACTAAGTCAAGAGCAGTTTCTATTTTTACTTTTGTCATGTAACTCAATACTGTTGTAATAGTAGTTGTAGTAATTTTCATTGTCACTGTGCAAGGTTTCTCATTTTTCCCCCTTCTCTCCAACAATTTCTTTGTCTTTTAGATGAGAGTTATTTTTACTTAAGTGAGGTGAACCTCAGTGCAGTTTTCAGTTTACATTTCCCTTATGATATGTGATGTTTAGCACTTTTACAAGTCCCCGTTGACCACTTGCTTGTCAATTTTTAGAGATGGCTATTTAGCCCTATTTTCCCGTTACTACAAATACCATGCTATGCACTACAACTTTTTACTATATTTTGAAGTCATGAAAGTGACTCCCTTTTCTTTCTATGTTTCTTTCACTGTAGTGGGTTTTTGAAAATTTCTTTCAAATTTTAGACTTGTATTTATTTTTGTGAAGAATGTTATTGGTATTTTGATTGGAATTACATGTAATCTTTAGGAGTAGTATGGGCATTTCAACAACATTGATTATCTTGGACCTTGAATATAGGATATCTTTTAGTTGTTTTATTACATTTATGTAATGAAAAAACTTGTTAAAATTTCATTTTTGCATCACTTATGGTAAACTGCAAAAGTAACAAACCAAAAATAAAAGCTTGATTCCACCTAAAATCTTGGATCAAAAATACAATTAATAATTCCCATCATTTGAGTACTTTTCCACACACAAGTTGTCTACAAAAATTTGTGTTTAGGAACCTTTATTTTGCAGTTGGAAAGGTCTAAAAATTTTAAGGTTAAAAGTTTCTGTTTTCTCTATCCCTTTTGTTTTATCCTTTGCACAGCAGGTAGTTTTGTGAGCAATGCTTTGTTCCTTTGTGCATGCTTTTGCCAACTACTCTAAAAATATTGCTACTGACTAAGAATATATGAAACATTTATCAAGGAAAAACACCATAATTCCTCATAGTGTTATCTTATTTTTTTAATAGTAGAAAGCACATTTTGATTTTCAACAACCAACAGTAGTTAGGTCAGATCTATTGTTCAGGCAGACACTAGCTAAATTTTGCAATTTTCTCTTCTTACATTTGGTTACCTAAAAGAAATTTTTTTCTTCCTCTCCTGGCATTTGTACTAACAAAGCAACTAGAAAGCAGAATCCTCTCCATAACCTGAATATCTCTACTTGACTGTGTTTTGTGTTTAATTATTTTTACATTATTGTTTCCCTTGAATCACTTGAAAGTTCACCCTTGGATCATATGCTACAACCGCAATTAGGGTAGAAGTTATTTTTGGATTCTGTAAAAGCAATCTCTGAATAACCAAGAATATATGAAACTACACAGTTCAAATGGGATGCAGATGATTCATTGGAGAGTGAGTGAAAGAAAGTATTTTGAAAGAAAATACATAAAGTATTTTGAATTTCTGAAACAAGAAACATTTTAGAGACTGACATTATGCCTTTTAATATCATATGCGAAAAGATATTTAATTGAAGCACATCAATCCCCCAAATGACAGCAATGCAGAAACCTGACTAGGTCTTCATTTCTTAAAGGTGAATTCATTGAGCTCAAGGTCAAAGAACAGTTTTCTCAAGGACACCCAGTGATGTGTGCCTCTCTAAGCTGTGATTACTCAGGGTCATTCTGACCCCAATGCCAGGTGACTTCCTTTGTTATCTTAATGATGTAGGTAAGAACTGTGTCCAGTTTTTAAAAGTTCAAACTGAGAATAAGTCACAAAGAAAGCTAATGCTAGGAAGGTCGAAGTCTACTTTAACCTATTTTATATCTATGAATATTAAGCCACAACATAATATTTAATGCAAGATTTTCAAGTTTGTCTGTTGGTATTTAACAGTCATAATTAAAGTTTATTGTTTATATACCATGTTCTGCCTATTGCATACACACACACACACATACTGTAATTGTACCATAACACAGTAAGGTGGGCACTGTTATCATCTTAAACCTGAGAGAGCCAAGGCTCAGGGATAAACTCTGTTACCCAGTGTGACACAGCAAATGACTGTACTCCATACTGAACATAAAACACAAGGGTTTCACACATGCTGGAAATAAGCTATGTCACCCGCTCTGCACATTGAATGTGAGACCAGGTGTCACTATGTTGGACTTTAACTACCATGAGCTACAGTATAAATAATTATTCAAGGAATGGTTTCATCCAATGGTACTTTCCACATGATGCATTAACATGTTTATTTCTGGGCTTAGAATACTCCTCACTTTTCTCTCTAAGTATATATGTTTCGTATGCATTTTAAACGTTTTATTAGTCTTTATTAATTGTTGTATTTCTTAATTTACTTGAAAGCACATAAATGTACCATTAAGTAATAGACTTAAACTGGAAAATTCAAGCTTTTTTCAAGGTATTCTGTTAATGTATTTATTGCACTTCTAAGGAGAACTCACGTTTTGTCAACATTCCAAATCAAGAGTAAAAGTATAAGTAAATTGAAGTTCTGACTTGATAAAGGAAATGCGTGCTCAAGTTGAAGAATTCTGGCAAAGAGACCAATAAGCCTAATGACCATTATGGCAGCACCATAAGAAACCTAGCAGTTTGACAATTTCTAAGAAAATACAACTTTGCAGAATGAAAAAGACTCACCTTATCCTTAGAAAACTGTCATTTTTATCCCTATTCACATTATGCCTTGGTATAGTATGTGGTCAAAAATCTCAGCTGATTTGGGGGGCAGTTCCTGGGTGTCCCTCCATATTCTGTATCTTGGGAAGAAGTCTGGTGTCTGTTTGGTTTGCTTGCCCTGATGTTTTGTTCTTTTTCTCAAAGACTTCTTTTCATCTTCACTTTGCAGCAACTCAGTGTTTTCTTCATTGGTATAGTATCAGTATTTTGGAGAACTCCCACTTAAGAATTCATTCATGCTTTCACTGATTACACGGGAAGTCTACCACACAAACCTCATCCCTGAACATTTGTCTTAACCCTAAGTTTTCCAGTTAAATTGTTTCAGTGTTAGGAATGACAATGAAAAATCAAACTGACCTTGCATATGGGAGGAGCATATAGCAGCTTACCTACAATGGAAAATACAGGATAAAACAGTATCTCCAGGAAACTATTGTAGAAAACTGAATACTGTATAAAATGTTCAATTACTGGGATGAAATATATAAATAGAATTGAAGTTTCAGCCTAAGTACAAATTTACCTATTTTATACCAAAAGGAAATGCGCTGTTCTTTTGTTCTGGGTTTTTCCAGAATTTAGTCTCATCTTCATGTTGGAGATAGTAAGTTTGCTGAAGTCTCCCAAAGAAGCGAATCTCCTCTATCTCTAATGTCAGTGTATGTATTCAAACACAAAGAGATGGAAAAAGGCATGCAACAGAGCAGACAGATAAAAATGCATCAAAAGCACACAAATAGAAAAGGAAAACTTTCCTCAGGAGTATAAGCAGGCATTTTTCAAAGGCTTTCAGAAATAATGCACTTTTAGATCATAACTGTTTACGTTATGTCAACCAAAAGGCTTATTAGGAAATGGAGTCTGGACTATTTAGGGATTCAGTGGTTGGTGTATGCAAAACATACCTGAATAGTTCAGTAAAAGGAAAAAGAGAGGCATTGCTGCAGTGCTGAGTCCAGATAAAATACACCTGAGGTTTATTTCAGTATTACTTAACTTCTCTTTGTGTTGCAAATGGGTGCAAACACAAAAGCAAGCAAACAAAAAACTGAAAGTGAAACCTAAAATTATCATTTCTAAACAGACATCCGTTGGAATGTTTTTCAAGAATCTTTGTTGCATGTTAGCTCTTGATGTGTTCTTTTAGTTATACTTAAGAGGCAGGAAACAAAAATTTGGTGTTTAATTTTCAAGCATGTCATGCCTTAAGAGCATCAAATGTGTTCTCTCTTGTGTATTCCTGGACTCCTGCATCCTGACCTTTTGATGCTGTCATGTTAGCAAAAGGCTTAGGCAGCTTTGCTTTTAGTGTGCAGCTCGGTGAGAAGGATACTTGTGTACTGAAGCTACAGGTTTATAAAACTCATGGTGCATGACAATGACTGGGGTTTCCCATGCTACACCAGGAGTGCACTCAGCTCTATAATGTTTTGCAAAGTTGTGGATTGCTTGACTGAGATCCATGCACTGGTTTTCACTCCCTGAACTAAGATCAAACACTTGTGGCTTAAAATTTCTAAGAAGCCAAGAAAGCTAACAAGTAAAACTAATCTTGGAGTTCTAATTTGTGAATCTGTGCTAGATGACATTCTCTGTCTGGGGAGATTCTAGTAGCTTTGTTTTCAAAGAACATATTTATAACATATGTATATCAAGGAGTCACTTTCAAGGGGTCAGGTCCAATGGAATTTATGAGACAAAATCAATTTTGTCCTCCAAATGACACTGAACATTTGTTTTAACCAATAACTTCAACTTCCCTCTCACTTTTGATGATTAGATGCACTGTGATTATACTTACAATTGCAGAATATTTGTGTAACACTCAAAGACATAATGAATGAGCATGACTAATTCACACAGGTAAGGTACAAGAGGCAGGGCAGATGCTGGGGAAAGAATGAAGCAAAACAAATGAACAAATAAAAAATTTTTTTAGCTTCTAAAATTATGAGAGATAAGAACAGACAAAAGGCTATTTAAAAGAACATTATCCAAGACTACGGCACTGCTCTGGAACTACACTGCTCTTTTGACTGAGTTTCAGTAGTTAAGGTACACACAGTTTCATTCCTCAAATTACTCTCAGGGCTCCATCTGCACAACAACGTCCTATGTGTGTTTTACCATGATGACTGATCCATGGCACTGAAGTACATGAAGGGACAGAGTAAGGACAGTTACTCCAACTGGATAACACAGGACCAGTGAGAAAATGTCATTTGGGGAGAAAATTGTAGGTGCAGCAAGAGAAAGAACTCAACACTGCAGTTAAGGAGCCAATCTCGGAAGTCCTTAAACCGCGGTGTCATTGTCACATTAGTCCAGGGGGCTCCTTGTAGAATGCTTTGAACCTGGCCATTCCCATCACACTCAGGTCCAGTGGGCTCCCCTCAGATGCTGAGGTGCCAAGATTTTGCCCTTCCCACCCTCCACCAGACAAGTACCCCCCCACCTTCCAGCCACTCTCCCAGACAAGCGCATCCTTGATACCTGCTTCTACCCTTTCCATCAGCCCTTCCTATTCACTACTCCCTCCCTGACCACGTGCCTCAGAAATTCTATGTGTCTTACGTATAATTCAAAGGCCGGCTAATTGTTTATTGTACTTCCTGAAATCACATTACACTGTGTGTCTTTTACGGGCATAAATACTTCTCCATTACTGTAGGATAATAATAAACCTTTATTTCCACATATTACTTATGGAAGTATGTCAGAAGGTCTTCATTTGGAAGGTGAGAATTTGAACAGTATGAGAATCCTGAGTAGGTAAGTTGGGATAAGTTGAATATATTACTGAAACAGGCACCTAGTGCCAGCTTGTAACTCTAGGACTCTGGGAGTTTGAGGAAGGGGAATGGCCAGCTGAAGCCCAGCACGGGCAGTTTAGCAACTTAGTGAGATGCCATCTCGAAAAGATAACATCCACCCCAGTGTCTGGCATGAAGTTAGTGGTCTTCAAATATAGCCATTAACCGATGTATTCCAGAGGACTTATCTCAAAATAAGACCATTTTTCTGTCTGTCTTGCTAATTTACTGTGAGATTTTTAAAGTAAGGCAATGTTTCTGAATGCACATGGGAAAAACTTACAAAACAGTTATTCTTGTGTAGCTGTTACTCAGTAGTGGTTGGCTAGGATTAATAGGAGTACTTAAATACAAACACTAGGGAACCATATTATTATCCAAAATTATTTGGTCCTATGAGGAAACAGTCGTGGTAACATTTCTGGGGTGATGAAGAATTCTATTTAGGACCTGCATTGCATAGATATTTTTGTCTAAGCAAAGCTAGAGAAGCCATCATTTCCATATTTGGCCATGGGTCCACAAGATGGTCTGTTGGTCTGTGGTGCTGTGGTAACACTGGGTTTCACTGTGCTCACTGCCTTGGGGGGTAGTTTCCCAGTAAATGTGTCCACAGTGTGGATTTTTCTGTCTGTGAGGAAGAATCTCTCCCACGTATCATGCAATTGCTTGTGGTTTATAGTCGGCCTTGCCGTTCCTTCAGTGGTAGAGGCATCAGGTCAAACCTTGGTTTCAGTTTTGCATGACAGTGTTTTGTTTTCTCTGTTGCTGTGTGTTAAATTCTACCTTATATGTATCTATCAGTCAATCATCTCTATCTGCTATCTGTCTATCTATCTATCTATCTATCTATCTATCTATCTATCTAATCTACGTTTTGTCACTGCTGCTAGAAATTAAATCTAGGGCATCACACATATCAGGCAAACATTGTAACAGTGAGCCACATCTTCTGCCCAGTGACTTCATTTTAATCTGTTTAGTTATATCTGCAAAAAACAAAATCTATTTCCTGGGTCACAATCTAGAGATTAGGGATTAATGTGTGATTTTTCTTTTGAAGACTCAAATCATTTTATAGCAAGTGTTCCCAAAACTTCAACATAGGTTTTCTATGAGAATGAAGCTGTCTTCATACATTATTCCACTGAAGAATACATGAACTTCCAAATACACTTGCCATATGAGGCATTAAAATATCTCAAAACTAGAAAAGCATACTCTATTTTTTGATATACCCAAGTTTTTATATTTCCTCATCACTGTCAGACACACTCTTGATTTTTATTAAGAGATTTAAAGGACATATTTGGGTACGAGGAAGTTTTGCATACATGGAGTGAGAAACTCAGTTATATTGAACATAGTATCTTCACGGTGTAACGCTAGTTAGTATAACTTCCATTCTGTGACCTAATCAAGAAAATTGCTAGCCTGCTATCATGTAATTTTTATAGAAAATTTTAACTCACAGTATTTGTTAAGATACCACAACCTTGTTCTTAATAAATCTGTACTAAAAAATAGAAAGTGTATTGAAAGTATATGGTGAGTCAAGTTTCATTCTTGCTTTCTGTGTCTTCAAGGACAAGCAGAGAATTGAGAATTTGATTAAAGTATGCTGCATGAACCCTAGATAATTTCTAGTTTAGATGTCAGTAGCTAAACACTCAGAAGATTTACAATAACCTTTCTGATTCAGTATTTCTCACATTCCTTCTTTCTTGCCATAGTATGGAATTTAGTGAGTGTCTAAATGTATCTGCACCACAGAAGACTATGCTCATGGATTAAGGTAGCAGTACTTAGATTACAGTGCATCAGTTACAACTTTAACCAAATATTTAGCATATATATTGGACTTAGTATCTATTTCTCTCTTACAATAAATACATGAGACATCACAAGGATAAGAATTACAGGCATGAAAACAAATTAAGATGATTACAATAATTTCCCTACTGCATGAGTAAGTTTTAGTGTAAACCATTTACCTAAATCCCTCTAGCACATGTTTAATAAGTACCAAACTCAGAATGTGGGCCCTTAAACCCCTTCACATCCTCTAAACTATACTAATTCCATTGAATTTTAAATTAGTAATTCAACTAAGGTACAAATGCTAATTTATTTATTTTTAATATACATTAAATTATTATATTTTGTGATGTAAAGCATCATTTTAAACAAATTTATTTTCTAAAAGATCAGAGAGTCATCTGACATGCACCTGACATGAATAGTAGGCTCAGGAGTGAATAACAGTGCCATCTCAGCTGCACTGGCAGCAAGTGTGTCACAATCTTACCTTCTGCTTTCTTTAACTATAAAGCATAGTATTTCACTCTGTCCTCTGTGGTTGTCCTTCTGTTAAAATCTGTGCTAGGTTTCATAGATTCTTTTGTTCCTCAACAAATTATATTCAAGTGACATGTTATAGTAATTGTAATATGGATTGAAGGAAAACTGGAAACCACACTTGTTTGCTCTGCTTTCTAAATTCTGCTGCCTTTACTAACCCAGAGCCTGCAGGACCTATAGAGCTAAATGTGAGGAATGAGCCCAAGCCAGATTTCCACACCCTTTCCAACAAATGCTAATTTAAGTCACTTAGCCACAGAGTGCTGGAGAGACAGTCACCTGCCAAATATTTACTGTCTTTTCCAAGTGAGAACTGATGCTGGGCCAGAGTTTTTTTCTGTGAATAAGCTCAAAATGTCTTGGTCTCTTACATAGTTGAAAGTGAATTCACTGAGGGATGAGACTGATAAACACCACAACAGCAGCACTGACCACACATAGACTTCAGTCCCATGGAGAAAGACTGACCAACTCACCGTGGACTGCGAGGGCGGGCCTGGCATGGGAGTGCTGGGGGAGAAGGCTCATCGAAAGTGCAGATGCCTCATGCAGGGAGTCACTCACACCCTAGCATGAAAAAAATACTATTCATGCAGATGAAACCATACATCTGAATTGCTGAAGGGGAAAGAGGGGAGTCATGGCCCCTCCCTCCACCCTGCCTCTGCTCCCTCCTGGAGCCCAGTGGAGCAGACAGATTAGGAGGACCCCAGGAGCCTGATGCAGTCCACCAGCACTACAGAGGCCAGACTCCTGGAACAGTGTTTATCTATCTATGCATATTATATATACAATATGTTGTAAACACATCGGTAGTGAATAATAAGGGCCAACCTTCATAAAACACATACTGCAGGACCGAAAAGTTCAAGTAAGACTCATTCATTCATAATAGGTGAACCGCAATTTCACAAGAGACAGAAAAATGAAAAAAAAAAAATGAAGCACACCTTTGAATAAATATCCTTAATAAATGTATAAAGAGCATTTTATACTACTACAAAAAATGCATATTATCCTCAGCAGGACGTGGAACTTTCTTCAAAATAGACCTGACATTAGTCAACAAAACTTGCTTGAATAAATATAAAAGATCCAAAACTGCTCCATGTATTCAGTAGCCTATTGTGCATTGAAACTGGAAATCGTTCACAAAAGAAATGAGAAAACAAATGACAATCCACTGAGCACTTAATAATATACTTCCAAGTCATAAAGGAATCATTAAAGACATTAAGGGAAAGAGTTGAACAGTTTGTGAAATCAAATGACACTGCTGGTCCAACACACCAGAACCTCTGGGACAACCTGAGAGTCATTCTAGAGGGAAGTTTACTGCAGTTAGGTTTCACTTTGGAAGAACAGAAAGAGCACCAATAAATAACCTAAAGAGGAACCACAAGACACACAAAAACAAATCCTTCTGGAACATTAGTTTCAGAAAGCCAATAAAAAGTCAGAGTCTCATTAAATTGAGACTCAAAAAAATACAACAAAGCAATGACTCAAAGAACTGGTTCTTTGAAAAAATAAATAAAATAGAAAAATGCTTAGCCGTGCCTACCAAAAGAAAGAAAACACTCACATCAACACAATTAGAGGTGAATAGGCAAAATCACAATGGATACCACCAATATCCAGGATATAGAAAATATGTAAACTTATGCTTAATAAAAAAGGAGAATCTTGAAAAAATGGACAAAATCTTAGACATATGTGAATCACCAGATTTGAACTAAGAAACATAAAATGTCTGATCAATCCAATAGAAAGCAATGAAATTGAGACGGGGATAAAAAAAAAAAAAAGAAGCTTACCAATTAAAAATATCCCAGGATCTGGTGGATTCAATGTTGAAGTCCAGGAGCCCTTCAGGGAGGTTATAACCTGAATCCTCCTTTAACTCTTTAATGCAGTAGAAAAGGAGGTAATGCTTCCTATCCCATTTCTTGAATTTAGTGACCTTCTGACTGTCAAACTAATCAAAGATCAAACAGAAAAAGAAAACTATAGGCTGATATTCTTGATAAGATACTCAAATAAAATATCACAAATTATCAAAAAGATTGTACATCACAGCCAAGTAGGTTTCACCTCAGGGCTGCAATGATGGTTAAATATATGCAGATCAATAAATGTAGTGCATGCAATAAACAGAAACAAGGACAAAAACCACATGAACAGATGTTCAATATAGGAAAAGTATTTTTATGAAATCCAACACCCATTCATGATAAAAACCCCAAATAAAATAGGCATAGAAGAATCTTACCTAAATTTGATAAAATTAATTGAAGGCAAATAAATAATCAAAATCATATTAGTTGGGAAAAATTGAGATCTTTTCCTCTAAAATAAGAAACAAAATCTGAAAAAAAAATGATTCCACTATCACCATAGTCACCATGGTACTTCAAACCATGGTAGGAACAAACAGACAAGGGAAAAATTAAAATAGTTATGTATAGTAAAGAAGGAAGAAACTTATCATTGTTTTTGAAAGATATGGCCTTCTACATAGATCAATCAAACAGATCCATCAAAATACTCTAAGAATCAATAACAAAGTGTAGTAATAGAGGATTCAAAATAAATAGGCAAAAGGTTTCATCATTGATTAACCCCAATAATGAGCCCTTTGAAAAAGAAAACAATACAAATCAAAATAATACTAAGAAAAAATACTTACAAACAAACTTGACTAACAGAGTATAGTCTCTGTAAAAAACTACATCCCTCTGAAAAGGAAAACAAAGAGACCATCAGAAAATGGAAAGTTATTCCCTGTTCCTAGATAGGCAGAAATAATACTGTTAAAATCACCACAGTTCAAAAACTGACATGTAGATTTAATGCCATCCCCAACTAAATAGCTGTGGGATTCATCACAGATCCAGAGAAAATTCAGCTGGTACTAGAGAATATTTAGAATAGTGAAGTTATCTTCAGCAACAAAATCAAAGCAAGAGGCATCATAATAGGCATTATGCATCATAGTAGTATCATACTAGTGATTAAAATAGTATAATATTTGTCCCAAAACATATTGGATCAATGGAGTAGAAAAAAAAAAAAAAAACTCAGAAAAAACTGTGGACACATTCATCCATCTGATCCTTGGAACAAGGAACACATTTATACCCTGAAGGAAAGACAGATTCTAGCCAACAGTGTAGTAGAAACTGACTATCCAGATGCCTGTCTGTTTTACCATGTCCTAAATTAAAATCACTATGTATCAGAGATCTGGTATGAAAGCATGCACAATCTACTAGTAGATAAAATAGGTAAAACTCTCAAAGTCATAAATGTGGAAAAGAACTCCAGCTGCACACACACACACACACACAAAAAAAAAAAAAAAAAAAAAAAAACAAAAAACAAAAAAACAGCTAAGATCAGTAAATGGGATCCCACGAACTTAAAAAGCTTCTTCACAGCAAAACAACAGAGTGAAAGGTAACTTAGAACCTGAGAAAATATTTCGGCAATTAAATCTCAGACTGAAGGAAAGTGTGTAGAATGGGCTGAAAATATTATAATTCTCAAAATAAAAGACCTAAATAAATAAATAAATAAAAGGCCTAACCAAGAAATGGGCAAGTGAGATAATGGACACTTCTCAGAAGAATACATAACCATGGCTGACGGGTACACGGAAACATTCTTCTTCTATGACCATCAGAGACATGCAAATGGGAGTAACATTGAGATGTCACTGTACTCCAGAAAGCAGAGCAGCCTCAGTGAGAAATGCTGGAGAGGACGTGGTAAAGTAGGAGTCTTTCTACACTGCTGGCGGGAATGTAAACTAGCACAGCCATTATGGAAATCAGTATGTGGAGCTTCATAACAACTAAAACTAGAAAGTCCACTAAAACTAGTTATTCCCCTTCTAGGTTTCTGCCTAAAAGCCTCACAGACATCATAGTACAGTGATTCATGCGTACCCATGTGTACAGCGGCAAAATTCATAATAGCTAATTCTAGGAGCAGCCTGTGTGTCCACCAGTGCATGAATGAGTAAAGCAAATGTATCGATTCATTACTGGAATACTACTTAGTTATACAGAAAGATAAGTGGAAGGCATTTCCATGAAAATGGGTGCACCTTGGAAAGGTAATGTTAAAGTGAAGTAAATCACACTCACAAGCTCAAATCTTCTGTTTTCTTCCTCTGCGAGACCCAAAGTACAAATGAAGTTCTGAGCAAAGCCAGACTGATAAAATGATGAGTAAGGTGGCTTTTTTGCAAATTTGAAGGGGACCATGATACTGAGCTGGGAAAGGAGAAGAAGGGGCCTTAACATGATCAGAGGTGTCGCGGGCATGGATGCCTACCCACAAGGAATGTCAATCATGCATCACTAACATCAAATAAAATATGATGATAACAACAATAACAATAAGGAAAATGAAAGGCCATTCAGAGGCAGAGAGAAAGGGGGGAGTAGGGACAGGAAGGGGAATAAAACCAATCCAGATAAGTCACCTCAGGCTGGTGACTCCACTTCTCTCACTCCCATGACCCGAGAGTTAGTAAGATCAGAGGAAAGGGTCAAAAGCTGTGGTCCATAAGAGAGAGCATTTTAAGTTTATATTGCCCTAGGAAGGTAGAGAACAAAGTCCTTGAAACCACTTAAAATGGCTTGTAAATAATTAAAAGAGTGCAAACGTACTCAAGGTGTTTCTGCTTATAAATGAATGTTATCATATGAATATGAATATGGATATAAGAAGGTATGAAATAAGAACATATAAAATAACTTTACATGCACCAAGCTTTTATCTGAACTTTTTGGGGTTCATTTATAGTGTTGGTATCTTTGTTTTTAATGTTTAAAGATTTATTTAGTGTAACCTTCGTAAGTACAGAGATTATTATTTATCCTGTCAAATGACACAGGGTCAACAATACTTGAAATTTGCTAAATATTGAATAATTTTGTAGTTTACTGTTAAATTAATCCAAAATAATGGGTTTTGGCTATAAATTAAATATAATTACAATTTTGCTAATCAATGGAAAGGGAGAATATTTTGAAGACAATAGTACAATTATACTAAGTTGCGTAACATATATATGCAATACACGTACATATATATGCATATGTATACACACACATATATAAACTCTTTTATATTTTAATCTTTGAATTTATTTTACAAATAGTGTGATATCTATTTTTGATCACAGTTATTATGTACATAGTAAATATATATGCACAAATATATGTATATAGACAAAACTGCATTTAAGTATTTTAACATTTTACATTAAATTTTTCTTTTCTTTTCATAAATCTCTAAACTCTGCAAAAGCAAATTTTATGAGCATTATACTTTTGCTTCTAATTTTTTCTTTGAGGGAGCTAAAAGGCTGCAAGAATCTCAACTTCAAATGTCACTCTAATTAAGTAAAAAATCATCTATGAAAATATGTTCACTTATTGTATGTACAAGTACATGCTGCTGTGGAATATGCTGGATTTTTATAAAAGGTTGGTATGTGAACCAAGAGGCAAATATTTAGCATGCATAAATGCAAAATCTTTATGAATTTAATATGCA